TTACTTTAAGCTTCTAGTTGATTAAAAGATCTTAAATTAGTTTGTTTTCAATTCATTTTATATTTAAAAAAACAACAGTTGAAAGAATAATTCATATTTTTTTCTATTTAAATATAAATAAAAAACGGCAATTATATTGAGAATCCAAGTTATTTATAGAGCACATGATCTACGTATAACTCAAAAAAGATGAAATAGTCTTTGTTAAGTAGTTTGTATATAAGCACTAAATGATGCCGGCAAGGATAGCAGCGTAATATATATATCGCTATATTGTTTTATCGAATTAATAGTTTCTTCTTCTGCTTTGTGTGTCATTCTTGTTTTCAAGCATTGGCCATCTTCATGGTAACAAACTGCTGAAATGCTCTAGCTTGGTAGCTACATGAAACAATACTTTGACTGTTCAATTTATGAAATGTCTTATTTTACGCAGCTAGGATGCACTTCTTTTTCGTTCGATCCAGTCTCGCTGTTTATGTATGAATTTTAGCATATATTCGTTGGATATGTGTGCTGTTCAAGGAATTTTTATGTGACGGTAATACCAAAACTCTAACGCTTCTAACATGTCCAGATTCACTTTCGTTGAACAATTTTCACATCCATAAAGCAAAGAAGACCAAACGTAACACTTTAATATTCCTAGACGCTTGTGCATCGAGAGATTTCTATGTTCTATTCTATTCTCTGTTCTATTCTATTCTCTGTTCTATTCAACCAGTTAATGAATCTTTTGTGGGCTATTGGGCAACTGCCTAATATTAATTTTACCGACAACTATCCATTTGTTTTGATTGCGTTGATAGTTAAGATCTAGACTTAAAGTACGGTGGTATCATCGGAGTACCTAATATTATTATTAATTTCTTCAGCGATTTTAAGCGCGTCGCTACTATTATTTAATGCTACTTTAATAATTGATTTAGTATAGATCTTACTAGACAGTATCGTTAACATAATAAATCCCTGTTTGCTGCCACGCTGAGAAGGAACTTTATCTCCTCCCGCGTCACCTTAACGCTAGCGGTATGAATATACTGAAGATTTTTGAACAAACTAATCTGTTGAAACTAACTAAATCAAATCATTGAAAAGCGCTAAAACATAATGTATATGCTACTTTAATATTCAACGGCTTTCTCAAAGTATATAAAGTGTACGTAAATAGTCTTACGAAACCCGAGGCTTTTTTTATAGAAATACTCGCATGCAAAAAAATACTTCCCGAGTACCCATGCCGCTTCGAAAACAAAACTGCTCAACACCACCAATTCCCTACAAATTCGATATATCCGATAAATAATTACATTCATAAACATTTTGAGTGTTGAGTGTTTGAATGTAGGAACTATCAACTTATTTAATGAGTAAACTCATTAAATAAGTTGATAGTTGCTACATTCCTTAATGTTACTTTATTTGCAAATAGTGACAAATATTAATTTTAGCCAGTTGTCTGGTAATTCGCTACTTTTGTATATATTGGCTAAGAAGGACCTGATAATCGCAACACTCCCATTATTTAATACTTAGTTGTAATAAGTACCTAGTACTTCTTGGTAGATTCTTTGGTCGTAAATGTGATGTGAATGATGACGTGAATTGATGTTTGACCTGTAAATTGTGCTTGTACTCATTAATAATATCAGTTTATTTATTATGTAAATATACTAACTTACTTTTTAGTATCCAAGTGGGATTATTTCAGGTATTTGTCTAGAATCGGACGTAATTTATTGCGTTGGTGTTGGTATTCCACAGGTCGTTCATCGTACTTGCGAACAGGCAATGTTTGCACTGGAGCAGGTGGTACATGTCCTGCCGTTGGCCGCACATCCATAAGGTTTCACTTTTATCGAGCTGGTTTCATATTGTTATGTTGGTCTTTACAGCTGCCACGCCTGATCTCATTTGATTCAATATTTACATCTTTCAGTCGTATTTCAAATCAGTTAGGGTGTTTGGTTTCAGTGGATATCATGCTTGAGGTTCCACATGATTACCACTGAGATAACCTTTCCAGAATTTTAATCGCAGGTCTTCGTGTGAGTGCTTTTTTATACCGAAAACAACGTCAAATGAATAAAGTCTGTCGTCAAATGAAGGTCTAACGCGTAATGTACTTCGCGGTTCATCTTTGCAGGTCCGTTCGGTCGATTTCCGCACAATAATATAGTTTCTTTTGCGGCAATGTTTTCAGGAACCTTCTTACGCTTCGTTTAGGGCCACGTTCACTTTTTTAGCATGTGCAGACCTATCCCAGATAGGGTATGCATACTTGCATACAGTGAAAAAGCTGAGATCATTTACTATAGGTTTGGCTGGGCATCCCATTTAGAGTAGCGGAGTTTACTAAGTAGGTGGTAGGTAACATTTTTTCACCACCTAAGGTCCAAGCAAAATCTAAAAAAGCTAAAATTAGTTCAGCAAACACTTCTGAATGCTTATTTTCTCTCTTACTTGATTCTGTTAAAAACTTCATACAACAATCACCCTCTACCTTTCCCTCTAAACTTTGATCAACTTAACATGCTCCTAATGATAATCACCGGATCAACAGATCCTACAACCCAATTCAAGAATATACCACAGAAATATCAGCTTTGTCCCATATGCTCAGTCAAGGTTACCTCCATTTAAAGGAATTATTCATAAAACGTAAATTCACGTCCATAAGGAAAAACATCCTAATTATCTTGGCAGTGAAGCATCGGACGCGGAAAGTGACACATCTTAATTAAGCCAACATTAAAATTCAAGTCTCTACTTCAGTGGAATATTTATGGATTTATCCATCGCCTTGCTATGCACCAACATCTAATTGGTGAACAGAATCCACTTCTTGTGGAATTTTATATTGGCAACTTTTTTTTGACATTATCTTCTACCCCAGTGGAATATTAATATTCCATTTATTCGTGGTCGGCCTGTGCTTCTTTTTCCAATCCTTATCCCCGGCAATTCTAACCACTTTGTTCTCTGCCATTTAACTCATATGGCTGTTCCATTCTCTTTCTTGTAATTATTTATTAATGTTGTTTATTCTGCTCTATGAGGTCTTCTATTATAGGTCTTTAATCTTATTACTCCTTGTTCTGTTTTTTAGTGTTTTTCCGGTTATTCTTCTTAGGAGTATATTTTGATTTATCTCCAAATATCTTCTTGTCTTGTTTGTGTTTAGTCTTGTTTCTGCGGTATACAATATACAGGTCTGATTACAGATTTGAATATACTGGTTTTTGTTTCCATTTTCAAGTGCCTCTTTTTTCATATTGTGTCGTTATGGCATCCTGCTGCTCTGATTATTTTTGCCACTTGATCCCTTACTTCCTTTTCAATGTTATTGTTGTTCGATAAATTTATTCCCAAATATTTAGATTCCATTATTTTGTTCCATCATTTTCTTTTTAATCTCATGTTTGCAACTTACTGGTTCCTTTACTATTACTAAGCTTTTTTTTATATGACGAAATTTTCATGTTAAATTCCTTGGCTTTGTTAATTAATTTGGTAATTGTTACAAAAAAATCAATGTTGTGAAAACCTTCAAATATTTAGAGTAATCGGTAATAAGAAAAAATATCGGAGAAAGAATAAATAGAAGATATCACAAGAACTTAACCACGAATGTCGAGAACTTAAAAACAGACAAAAGGAAAATGATATACCATCATTGGATGGTAAATATGAAAAGAACTTAAGACTGTATTTCTAAAAGCTAAAGACCACCTTAAAAACACGAATCAAAGAGGCAAGAAACCATGGATAACTAATGAAATTTTAGAAATGATGAATGTGAGACAACAACACAATAACAAAGACTGGAATAAATATAAAGAAATACAAAGACTAATAAGAAAAAATATAGTGGACGCAAAAACACAGTGGCTTGTAGAAACATGCGAAGAGATAGAAGACCTACAGAATAAACATGATGTTAGACTTCTCCATAAAAAAATTAAAGAAATGTGTGGGATCAAAAACGTTAGGCAGTGTGGCACAATAACAAGTATTGATGATAGAGTCCTGACCACAATAGAAGAAATAAACGTTGAATGGTGAACATACATTCAAAACCTATTCTTAGACGACAAACCAATAAATATTGATAGACAAACAAACATCGAAAATAACTACTTGCCTATCTTAACATTAGAAATAAAATACGCCTTAAAAAATATGAAAACCGTAAAAGCCTCTGGACTTGACTACGTTCATAGTGAAATTATGCAACTTTTGGAAGAAGACAATTTAGAACTATTATCAAGACTCTTCAACAGTATATCCAAGACTGGTACAATTCCACAAGATTGGTTAACGTCTACGTTTGTGCCTATACCTAAATCAAACTACGCAAAAAAAGTAACGACTTTCGATTAATAAGTCTCATACCCCATATTCTGAAGCTATTTCTAAAAATTATTCCTAACAGAATTTACAAAAAAATGCGAAGAAGATATGTGTCCGGAACAATTTGGCTTCCGAAATGGTATGGGAACTCGAGAAGCTTTGTCAGTTTCATTGTTCTCGTGCAAAAGTGCCGGGATCAACAAAAAAATGTCTACTTATACTTTATATATTATGAAAAGGCTTTTTGACAAAGTCAAAAACGATCAGCTAATAGAATGCTTGCAAAAAAAAGAACCTGGATCCAAACGACATTAGTACAATACGTGAACTCTACTGGAACCAAAACGCCTCTGTCAGAACTGAAATGGGTGATACTGAAACCATAAACATCAAAAAAGGAGTTAGACAAGGTTATATACTATCACCATTATTATTCAACTTGTACTCAGAGGACATCTTTGCACATGCTCTAGATGAAGCACAAGAAGGAATAAAAGTCAATGGAAAAATCGTGAACAATATCAGGTATGCCTATGATACAGTACTGATTGCTGACAGTGAAGAAAAACTACAAATTCTGTTAACCAAAGTAGTGTGAGAAGGAGAACTATACGGCCTTAAGGTGAATGTAAAAAAAAACCAAAACAATGGTAATTTCAAAAAAACACACACAAGTTATAAACATACTAGTTAACAACAATCTAGTTGAACAAGTGAAAAAGTTTAAGTATTTAGGCCATTGGATACATGAAACCTTAGACCAAGAACAAGAGAAATGTAGAATAGAACAGGCAAGAAACAGATGGCAACAGATGGGAACAGGCAAACCTTCTTAAAGATGCGACAGTTACTCACTACCCGTAATCTTGATTTGTCCCTGCGATACCGCATGATAAAGTGTTATGTATATAGTGTACTATTACACGGCGTGGAAGCTTGGACATTAACAGTCAGCTCGTTACGACATTTAGAGAGCTTTGAGATGTGGGTATTTCGTCGTATGCTAAAAACTTCGTGGACCGACCGCGTTAGAAATGAAGAAGTTTTAAGGCGTATGAATAGAGAACGTGAACCCACCGAAATTGTCAAGAAGCGTAAAACGTCTTATCTTGGACACATATTTAGACACGACAGGTATAACTTCCTTCAGCTTATTATAGAAGGGAAAATATAAGGCAGACGCGGTCCGGGTAGACGACAAATGACCTGGCTACGCAACATCAAAGATTGGACAGGATTAGACTTTATAAGGAAAGCCCAAAATAGGGAAGACTTTGTAAAGGTCATCGCCAAACTTCGCTAAGAAGACGGCACCCAAAGAAGAAGAGCAAGAGACAATCAGACGATTACTAAAGAAATATATGCACCGAAGTATAGTATAAAAAAATAAAGAGACGAGCAGATGACCCTAAACGATAGAGTGGATTTCTCCTGGATAGAAGAAAAAGAGGGGACACTCTAAGTGAAGTTGGCGTGACGATATTAATTAGAGACAATATTATTGATTACACATATTGATTAAGACAATTAATTGACATCAAAGAATTTAAATAACAATAATATAAATATAATAGAAACTCTGGAATAATCGTACAGTGGCTACACTCGTAAATGATCCCTTATATATAAATATTATATTAAGGTGATACATATTACGGTTGGCTTATCTACATATCAATTTTCCTTTATGGCTAATGGTACACTCGAAATTTTTTACGTAATCTTTAAATCATGCAAATATTCTTTCTTTTAAAGACTTGAATGTTTGGCATTTCTATTCGTGGCATATAGAATTCATAACATAACTGAAAAATGAAAATTTTACCGGTCTTAATAAATTTGGTATGTTAAATACCTCCCCTAGAAAAAAATATTGCCCTATCATATTTCTTGAGGTTTGTAAGATCAACCGTTCATCATTATTTATACTTGTCCCTTTCTGAGCAGGTAAGATTACATTCGTAAATATACAATGAGCAATTTCCAGTTACATGGTCCTTACTGTCGTCATTATTTACCGAAGGTTTTAGTGTAATAAATATTTACCGTCTTTTTTGCGATTGTTTACCAAAAAATATCACTTTTAGAATACTCCAGGCGTCGGAGACGAAAATGCCACTCAACTTCTAAATTTAATACGAACAAGCTGAATTTTACGCAGAATATTATTTTGGGACACCAAAAAAAGATGCAACAAAGTTTACCACTAATACCCCTGGGCTTCCCCCTAAAATCCCCTAAAAACGCAAAAAAATCGATTTACCAAGAATTAGCACACCGCAGAAAAAAATGTATCAAATAAAAAATATACCTAAGATAATTTTAAACAAAAATTTCTATTAGCAGTTTTTGTATAGAATGAAACGTTCTCTCAGAACGTTTGAAGCAACCGTTGATTTTTAATGTTCACGTTCCCGAAATCAATGTTCAATAAAATTTATATCAGCTCGACGCTAAAAATTCGATATCTTTTGATCAAAGTGCTCTATCGACAAAAATCAAGATGCATTTTAATGGTAAAGAGTGCAGATTTCGTATGCAGTTTTTGTAGTTTGTCGCGAATAAACGTAGTTTTTATAAAGATGTTAAATAAATAAACGTGGCGTGATTTTTGCCATTTTTTATAATTATCATGAGATCAATATAATCTATCACTTTTATTCACTTATCACTATAAAGTTTCGATTACTAGAGTCCAGCTGTCAAAACCTATAGCATAAAATTTTAGTTTTGAGTTTGGCAACAAATGTAAGGCATTTGAAATATGCTTAAAAAACGTTGGATATAAAATTTTACATAACAAACAAAACGTTTAAAACTTTTTATTTTTAATTTAAATAGTTCGTCTTTCAAAAAAACCAAACTTCTGCTATAAACTACACGTAAAACTTATTGCAGACATTTCCCGTGACGAGCGATTGTTTGCAATATAAAGCATTAAATTCTGCGCTTTTTATGCATACTTCAAATGCCTTAACTTTGTTGCTACAACTCAAAATTTAAATTTCATGTCATATGTTTTAAAGATTAATCTCTAAAAATGGAAATTTTACTATGACTAATAATCAATTTTATTAATCTCACAATAATCGTAAAAAATGGCAAAAATCGCGCAACATTTATTGATGTAACACCTTTGTATAACTGAGTTTATTCGCGGCAAAATACAAAAACTGCATACGAAAGATGCACTGTTTACCTTTAAAACTTACTTGCTTACTCCGTGGCGTTACAACCCTTTGTGGGATTAGCCGACTCGACAACATGCCTCCACTGTTTTCTGTCTTGAGCAAACTTCATCCAATTTTCCACGCGCATAGTGCTTAGGTCTCCCACTATCTCGCCAGCGGAGATTTCCGCGTCCGCGTGGTCTCCTTTCAGTTGGGACTTCCTCCCACACCAGTCTTATTGTTCGTTCGTCAGAATGTCTTCTGAGGTGTCCTGTCCATTGGAGTCTTCTGGACTTTATTTATTTTATGATGTTAGCGTCTGAGTAAAGTTGTTCGAGCTGTTTGTTAGTTCTTATCTTATAATGTCCTGATGCTTCATCGATCACAGGACCAAAGATCTTCCACATGATTTTTCTTTCCTAAACACATAGTCTTTCTTCGTTTGCTTTTGTTATCGTCCACGTTTCGCTTCCATACATCACAACGGGTCGTATAATTATTTTATAGACCTGTATCTACGCACGTCTTGTTAGTTGTTTTGATTTTATAAGGTTTTGGAGGTCAAAAAGACATCTGTTGCCGACCTGAATCCTGTTGTTTATTTCTTGTGATCCGTTATTGTCTTCTAGCCCAGTCTGGTTATTCAAAAATAATCGATTTCACGGCAAAATGTTTGGCAGATATCTGAAGCTTGTAAGACATACGTGGGGGTTACTAGATGAGAAATAAATGAAAAGATACTCCTATTTTTACCTTGCGTTTTTTTTAACATTAATTTATGGTCACACTTTGATTATTTTTTTCAAAAAACACGTTTGTTTTGTAAATAATTTTAATGAAAACGCAATATGCATTTAACTTCTAAAATAGTTTAAGTCTTAAATAATCCTATAAAATTTACTAAATGTGTCTAGCGTTATTTATAGGGCAAGTTCAATAGTTTAAATAATTAGTCTCAGGGATAAACAAATTAAATAACTTTTAAACTGTTTGACCGATCGGGGGGAAATTTCGCATACATTTAAAGGACGGTAATTCCTCAATGTTTTAATGTAATAATAACATTTTATTTTATTAATAAAAAAAAATTAATATGCTAAAAAACTCCTTTTTTGCAAATATCTCCGTTAATTATTTATCAATTTTAATTCAAAAAACGGGAAAATGAAGATATCCTTCAAATAAAAAAATGATATAAATATTGTTTATTTAAAATATAAGGGAAAAAACTAATAGATAAAAAATCAAATTGTGACCATAAATTATGTTTAAAAAAACGCAAGGAAAAAATAGAAGTATGTTTTGATCTATTCGTCATCTAGTAACTTCCACCTAGGTCTCACAAGCTTCAAATATCTTCGACACATTTTTCCACCTTTTTTTTTTTAACTAGACTGGGCTATTCAGTTGTTGTTCCAAGATATTTGAATTCTCTAACGAGCTCAAAGTTAAAGTCATCGATGGTGATGTTCTGGCCGATTCTGTCTCTGCTTTGGTTATTGCGGCTCATATACATATATTTCATCTTGTTTTTGTTTATTTGGAGCCCTATCTTCTCTGCTTCCTTCTCGAACCTCACGAAAGTCTCCTTCATCCTTAATTGTGTGTTTCTTATTAGATCGATATCGTCTGCTAATGCCAGCAGTAAGTTTGGTCTTTCTCGATGAAATACTGAATTCGGTTGTTCGATTCTTGCACTTCTGATTATATGCTCCAGAGCTAAGTTGAAGCGTTGTGGTGAAAGTGCATCTCCTTTTTTAGTCCATTGTTTATTTCAAATGTCCCCGAGTACTTTTGTCCAACTCTCACCTTACATCGTAACCGTTCCATGAACATCCGTATCAACCTGACTAGTTTTTTTGGAAAGCCAAGTTCCTGCATCGCTGTCCATAGTCTGTCGATGCATACTCTATCAAATGCTTGTTTAAAATCTATGAACATCTGATGAAGCTCACGATCAAACTCACAGAATTTTTCCATTATCTGTTTTATTGTAAATATCTGGTCAATAGTAGAGCGGCCCGGTCTTAATCCGCATTGATATTCTCCAACGATTTCTTCTGTGTATGTTTTGGTTCTTTCTAGCAGGATGTTTGCAAGGATTTTGTAGGTGGTGTTTAGGAGTGTTATTCCCCTATAGTTAATACATTGCTTTTTGTTTTCTTTATTGAGTATTGGTACAATAATCCTTTCTTTCCATTCATCTGGCATTGTTCCTTCCCGCCAAATGTCTTGAATTAGCTTGTATGTAGAACTGTGCAACCTTTAAAACGCATCTTCATTTTTGTCGATAGGACACTTGAATTAAAAGTTATCCAATTTTTACCGTCTAGCTGATATAAATTTTATTGAACATAGATTCCGCGCACGTGACTAATATTAAAAATCGACGGTGGCTTCAAAAGTTGTTTCTGAGAGAACGGTTTATTTTACACAAAAACTGATAATAAACATTTTTGTTTAAAATTATGTTACCTACATTTTTTATTTAAAAAATTTTTTTCTACGTCGTACAGATTCTTGGTAAATCGATATTTTTGCGTTGTTAACCCCTTATGTGGGGGGGGGGGTTTAGGGTAGGCCCAAGGGTAAAGTGGTAAACTTTTTTGCATCTTTTTTGTGGTCCCAAAATTAATATTCTCGGCATAATTCAGCTTCTTCGTATGATTTTTAGAGATTAACTCTCTGACGGTTGGACTAAGAACAGCAAAAGATAGAGACAATATGCAATGGTTATAGCCAAACTTTATTAGTGGAGTCGGAACTAGATGAAGAAGCTAACTTTTGAAATAACTGCCATAAGTAATAACGTGTAATATGGTTATTACGAAGTCAATATTGTTAAATTTAAGTGTGTAAAAATTACAACCAGATAGGTTTAATGTTTAATATTCATCGCAGAGATCAAATATTTAAACAATTGACCGTGTCCAAATAATTATTAAAGATGGGCTTATAAATTTGAAAGACATTCTTAAAACTTTGAACTTTAGAATGAGTTAAAAAGATTAACTCTTTATTTAAAAATTGTTTTAAAAAATTTAGTTTAACAAGAATATTTTTGATAATAAATAATTGAAATATAGTCCAGTCGTCAAAGATTTGACCTCTAGATTTCATACGAACAAGCCAA